TAATCTGTCTTACTTAAGATGCTGGGAATTGATCATGATACATATAGCTGGGTGAACTGGAATGAACAGCTTCTAAAGGCAGATTCAATGGAAATTTAGTGGTTATTAGCAAAGGGGAACGAGGCTACCATCACAGCCTCTTTGCTTCGCTTCTTTAGGCTCTTTTACAGAATTTTGCTTCATTGTCCCAAACAGGAACAGAGGGGAGGGAAGTAAATGAGTGTGGTGGGTGCAAACAGACAAACTAAGTCTGGGTGAGCCAAGTGTAGACAGGGTCTGGACCCTCTCTTGGCTTTCTAATACTGTTTAAAGCTGAAAGTCCAGAACACTCTCACTAAAGGCCTGAAGATTAAATTTAGAGAAATAAAACACAAATGACCTGGGTGTATCACTTTTAAAGTTTTTGCTGTATTTATTATAACTTTTTAAGAATTAATTCATTTTACATCCCAATCACAACTTCCTCTCCCTTCTCTCCTTCCAGTCCCTCCCTTTCACTACACCGCTGCCATCCTCTTGTCCTCCCTTTCTTCTTAGAAAAAGAGGGAGGCCCTCTGTGGATATCAACCTGCTTTGGCATATCAAGTTGTAGTAGGAGTAGGTACACCTTCTCCTGTTATGGCTAGGCAAGGCATCCCAGTTAGGGGACAGGGATCCAAAGGCAGGCCACAGAGTCACATAAAGCTCCTGCTCCTGCTGTTAGGAGTCCTACATGAAGGCCAAGCTGTCCAACTGTTACATATGTGCCGAGGGCCTGGGTCTGTTTTATGTATGCTCTCTGGTGGTTCAGTCTCTGTAAGCCCCTATGGGCCCAGGTTAGTTGATTCTGTAGGTTTTCTTGTGGTGGCCTTGACTCCTTGGTTCTTCAGTCCTACACGCCTTTTCCCTCTCCCCATAGAATTTCCCAAGCTCTGCTTAGTGTTTAGCTGTGGAAGCCGCTCAGATGACAGTTTTGTTAGGTGGCTGTCTGGACGTATAGCAGACTATTACTAATAGTCAGGGGTGGCTCTCTCTCATGGGATGGGTCTCAAGCTGAGCTAGTCATTGGTTGGCTATTCCCTCAGTTCTGCTGCATTTTTACCCCTGCACATCTTGTTGGTAGGAGAAATTGTGGGTTTTGTGGCTGGGTTGATGTCAAAGTCCCTCCATTGGGAGTATTTTCTAGTTACAGGAGGTGGCTGTTTCAGGCACCATATTCCTCGTTGTCTTAGGTTTCTAGCTTGTCCCAGAGGTCCATCCTCCATTCCAGTTCTTTCTCCCCACTTGATCCTTCCTGCTCCACTTCCTGCCTCTTCCTCACCCAGATCCCTCCATCCATCCTGGTGTCTATTCTGTTTTCCCTTCTCAGTGAGTGAGATCCAAGTGTTTCTCCTTGGGCCCCTCTTGTTACTTAGCTTCTTTGGGTCTGTGGATTGTAGTATCCTTTATGGTAGTTATCCTGTATGTTATGGCTACTATCTACTTATAAGTGAGTACATACCATGTTTGTCTTCCTTGATCTGGGTGACACATGCCTTTAATCCCAGCATTTGGGAGGGCAGAGGCAGGAGGATCTCTGAGTTTGAGGCCAGCATGATCTACACAGGAAATTCTAGAACAGCCAGGCCTATATAGTGAAACCTGTCTCAAATAATATAGAAAAAGACACAGGTCAGTGTGTTGACAAACTGTGTTAGAGGCTAGCAAAGCTTAGTCCTCACAGAGGCTTAAACATATGTCAGTAACATCTAAGAGTGAGCTCTTGAAAAACTATCATAAGGGCCAGATAGATGACATAGTGGGTAAAGGTACATACCACGCAGGCCCAGTGTCCTGAGTTCAATTCCTGTGTGTAAGGAGAGAACAGACTTTCTAACTTCCATGCGTCAGCCTGGGCACAGGCTTCCTGCAGTAATAGTGATAATTGTTATTACTTATTGTTGCTGCTACTGAAAACAAACAAAAACTCTGATTCAGAATTACAGTTTGTAGTCAAGTGGCTTCAAGCATTTGACCAACATAGGAACACCTTAAGTTTGAAGGGTTATTTGTTTCATGTGGGGGCATTTTGTCTGTATGTGTGTCTTGCATCATGTGTATGCAGTTGCTTGAAGAGACCAGAAGAGGGTGTTGGAGCCCCTGAAACTGGTTATAAATATGAGCTATAATGTGGGTACTGGGAATAGAACCCAGGTCCTCTGCAAGAGCAACCAGTGCTCTTAACCACTGAACCATATCTTCAGCCCTATTATCTTATGTGTGGATTCCTAGCATCCACATAGAAAATTGTGCATATCTGTAAGCCCCGCCCTGGGGGATGGGATGGGATGGAGAAGATCCTTGAAGCTTGCTGGCTAGCCAGCTTAGCCAGATAGTGAGAGGTTCAGTGAGAGACCCCGTCTCAAAAACTAAGGGAAGCTGGTGTGGTGCCTGTAATTCCAGCACTCTGGGAGGCAGAGGCAGGCAGATCTGTTCTAGAAAATTTAAAAGCTGAGTGTTGGGTTATGTTTATTATTAATCTTAACATTATCATAGTGGTATTATTTAATCCACTATCACAAATAATAAGACACAGACATCTGTTAGATTTATAATTGCCTTATTTACCTTGGGCCGGGCAGATATTTCACTTACATTGACTCAGTAACCTCACCATCCATCTCCCAGCTCCCATTCAATGCCATCCACCTTAATCATCCTCATCTGGTCTACCTTCCATCCATAGTCCCATGGTACTTGCTTGTATTCTTCATCTGGCCTTTTCACACCATGGAATCCTTCCTCCCAGCCCACCTGGTTCCTTCTCCATCATGGAGACCTCCTTCCTCCTGTCTTCCCATCTGTTTTTCTGTGATTTTCCTGTCCCAGAAGCTCAGGAACTTTAGCCACACACATTCTGCTCTGCCCAGGTATAGGCTGTTTAATCAACCAATCAGGTATGTCTTAGGCAGGTTTACAAAACAAGGGTAGGTATAACCAGATCTTGAGGGGCCAGCATTAGAACAACCCCCAACACAGATCTTTGAGTTCAAGGCCAGCCTGTTCTACAGAGTAGTTCCAGGACAGCTAAGGCAAAACAGAGAAGCTCTGTTTCAAAAAAAAAAAAAAGGAAGACAGTGGGTCCTCTGGCCTTCCAATGGGCCCAGGTTGTCAGAACACGCATGGCTGCATGTGTGTGTTTTAGTGTCCTAGTTTTATCCTGCCACAATGGTGAGGCAGAGCTAAGAGGACTGTTGAGTGTGAGGTGTTCACACTCTAGCCTTTGTCAACTCCTGAAGAGAGTGAGTTATTTTCCTGTAATATGTTATAAAGAGACATTTTAAAATAATGGAAGAAAACAATCTCTAAGGACTTTCTCTTACACACACACACACACACACACACACACAGAGTGAGCAAGTGAGCATGGGCACTTGAGCAGCTCTAGAATAGCAAGAAGGAACACATGGTTCAGACACACTGTGTTACCATGCAGAGTTACTGGGACTAAAACCCAAGTCAACTCAGAGAAGGCACATGCCATTGCTGAACGTAGGGAAAGCAAGTGTTTCCAAAGAAAAGTATCCAGCTGCTGTTGGGCTTTATTCAGCAACAATAAAGATCAAAACACTGGAAGCCAGCTTCTGCATTTACACGTGAACTGTTCACTTCTGCGTGTCTGCAGAAAGCCATGTTTTGACAGACAAGCTGCCACGTCGACCGTTAGGATTAGGGCTGATGAGAAGGGCAGCAGCATTGCGGATGAGTGGACTTGCAGTGCTGCACCCTGAAGTTCCATCCCTACAGTTCAGAGTTCCTGCAAACTTTGGAGTGGTGTGCTGTCACAGGGAAGCCTGCTGAGGACAGTGACCCAGCTCCTCTGGTGGCTGCTCTTAGTTGTGTCATATCTGAGGGATATGTGCAAACCTCAGATGAGCAGAGCTGTCGTGAGGCAGGAAGGGAAGCAAGGGTGCCAGCATGGCTGCTTACTGGGAAACTGTTTAGCCGGGCAGTCACATGTGGCAATAACACTCGTAACTCAGCACTCGGGAGCTGAGCCTAGGCTACATAGATGAGACCCTGTCATAACACGAGAATGTGCTTGTCAGGAATTAGGAAGCAAGTCCAGCCTTGTTGAGTTTGGACAGTCATAATGCAGTGAACAGACCAGTACTAAAACCTTGCCCCTCCCCGCAGGCCAGCTGAATGGACAGTTTCATTCCAGTGTGGAAGGTAGTTGGATACAACCCAAGTAAATGACATCAGAATATAATTAACTTGTTAACAAGAGCTACAAGATCATGCTTAAAATCAAGAACATTGAGGTCAAATCACACATGTTCTTGGCTAATGATGAGGTGATCTTACATTTGCCTTATTTTATTTTTGACATAAAAATACATGTCAGTGGTCATGTTCACTGACATGTCCACTGTTTGTATAATGTTTTAGTCAAGATAAAATATTTCCTCAGGTATCTATCATTCCATTTAGTCATGGCTTCCAGTCTTAACATTTGAGAGGTAGTAGCAGGATGATCAGGAGTTCAAGGCCCATCTGAGCTACATGAGATCCCATCTTTAAAAAAAAAAAAGATTATTTCTTTAGTTTTGTTTTTGAAAATATCTCATAACATAGCCCAGGCTGGGCTCAAACCCAAGGTCCTTTTGTCCCAGCCTCCTCAGACCTGAGATTACGGGTATGTCACCATCCAGCTTATTACTTACTGCTTTGTGCTAAAACCTCCAGATGCTCCCTCAAGTAAAGCTGTAACTGTGTGGCTGCATGCATCACTGCATCATGGGCGCAAAAGGCAACCTTCGGGACTTAGTTCCTCTTTCCACCATGGAGTCAGGATGGGACGTGGGCTTCAGGACATGCACGGCATGTTTTTGTACTGGTGGAACCATCCTGACTGCTCATCCTCTTAGAGTTTTGTTGTTTCATTGTTTCAAAGAGAAATTAAAAGTATGAGAATTGGGTTTTCAGACCAGTGTGGGAGAATAAGACCATTTTCTCAATACATTGTTCTCATGTTTTAGAAAAGGCGACGACGGATTGACCGAAGTATGATTGGAGAGCCAACCAACTTTGTGCACACAGCTCATGTAGGATCCGGAGACCTATTTAGTGGGATGAACTCAGTAAGTGTGTCACATGGGCTGGTGGGACAAGGCCCAGTGGAGCCTGCATGACAGACTCACACCTTTAAATGACTCTTTATACTTGTTGTGTGTGTCCCCTTGTAATAACGTCATGTCAGGTGCGTTCTGCAACTAGATTTTACCAGTCATAAGTTGAAAATATTCGGGAAAAAAACCATTGTGCTTATACAACCCTTTCTTGTTGCCAGTCCCACAGCAATACCGTCTAGCAGGTATTTGTACATACTGCTACCTAGAATGAGTTAATGTTTGTGGGAGATGGGATGGCTGTGTGCAACAGTCAGACCACGTCATGCAAGAACATATGAGTGTGAGCATAAATTTTAGATCTGAACTTGGAAAGGATTAGTTATTGATTGATTATTAAGTTCCTACCATGGGACTCAAGTTGAACTTTTAATATCTATGCCAGGCCTTTAATCTCAGCACATAGAAGGCCAAGGCAGGGGGAAGATCTCTGAGTTCGAGGCCAGCCTGGTCTACAGAGTGACTTCCAGGACAGCCAGGGCTACATAGAGACCCTGACTCAAAAACCAAATAAGTAAATATTAAAATTTACCCTCTTGTTGTGAACTGCTTCTCACATACTTTAAGGTTTAGTTTTAGTTCTGTGTTTGTGTGTGCGTGTGTCACATGTGTGCAGAGACCAGAAGAGGAAGTCTGATCTCCTGGAGCTGGAATTACAGAAGTTGTGAGCCACATGTTGTGGTTGGGTGCTGGGACCAGAACTCAAGCCCTCTGCAAGAATTGTAGTGCTCTTAACCATTGGCCAACTCCTCATCCCTACATCCATGTTTGTTGAGTCAACTTCACAAAAATGTCAGTGTTTCCCTGAAGGCAGGTGTTTGAATGCTGGAGGTGTTGGCTACTGTGGCTAAGTTCTTTTCTGCTAAGCAGATAATTGGAATTTGCATACATCCCTTTAGGACAAACTAGCAAAAATTTGCTATATTCGGCAGTTGGTTATAAAGTACCTGAAATGAGGAAGAATCTGCTGTCTTTTGTGTAGAGATTTTAATACATGCCAGAATGGATCTTAGGTTCATTCATCTGGACTCTATATCAAAGGAGAACATAGCCAGCCTTTTGCTCCCTAGAAAGCATGATGCTGGGTGTCGCTACATTGACACTGTTGTAGAAGCAGAATGAGGTCATTATGTTTAGGCTTCCTAGCTAGGATCAACAGAGTTGGGATTGGAGTAGATAATGAGTGTCTGGTACATGCAAATCCACTTGTCCCCTCAGTGACTAGGAAAGCAAGGGAGCCGTTTATAGCTCCTGCTGTCAGTCTGTGAAAGGACGTGTTTCTCTGGCAGCCTAGTGGAGAGTAAGGGTATCACGATGTGTAGAGAGGACCAGCTGTCTGCTGGGCAGCAGGGTGAAGGCAGCAAAGGGGCCATGGGCGCTCTGGCTCTGGTTGGTATGCTTATTCAAATCTGGCTGAAGGACTTGTGTAGCAAGTTTATCATAATCAGTATCCTCTTTCCCAATCAATAAATGTCTTCACTTCAGATTCCATCTAAAGATGGAGGCCCACCCCAACTGTGGCTGATTCATCATTGGACATCACCTCCAAACTTCCTGCTTGGTTTCATCCTCCTAGCACTGTGGCCTGACTCACTCCCTGCTTCCAGAATGTTTATAGTTTACAGGAGCTGGGTTGAATGACCGCGATAAACACTTTGCAGTCCATCAGAATGAGACCCTGGTCTTACCTCAGAGCAGGGTCTATACCTTCCCTTCAGCCTGTGTTATGAATGCATTGCAGAGTGAGGTGGGGGGGGGGGGGGGCAGTATGACTACAAGTTCAAGGCCAGCCTGGGCTACATGAGGACATGCCTGGGGAAAAAAGCAAAGCAAACTCACAGATGTCCAATACTGGCCTCACCATTTGCACTGTAAAAAGAAAATTAAGGTGTTTAAAACTGGATTTGTGTTCCCTGCAGCAGGAGGATGGTGGTGAAATCACTGTTGCACTGACTGTCCCTGCTGTGCTTCTGCTCTCTTCCTGTTTGCTGTAGGTCAGCTCCATTCAGAACCAAATGCAGTCCAAGGGAGGCTATGGAGGCGGGATGCCTGCTAATGTGCAGATGCAGCTGGTGGACACCAAGGCAGGATAGCCCTGGTCCCTTCGGTGAGTGCTCTCTCCTTAGCCCTGAGGCTAAAACAGTTAACCGAGTCAAATTGCCTTCTCTGTGGCCTCAGCAGAGACTTCATTCTCAGGTTAAAGGTCAGGCTGTCTCCTCATCTGAAGGCCTTGAGACGCAGCTTCTGGGTAGGGAGGAAGCTTTGTTCTGTGCTTCTGGTGTCTGAGCACTTGGGAGGCAGAGGCAGGCAGATCTCTGTGAGTTTGAGGCCGGCCTGGTCTACATAGTAAGTTCCAGGACAGCCAGGACTATGTAGAGAGACTGTAAAAGAAACAAAAGCCTAAAAAATAATAACTTGAAATTTTTGTTTTGTTTTGTAGGTCTTTGTGAATTTCTGTATTTTCTCTGTCCACAGTTCTATACTATTTTTGTCTTGTGATTGGATTTCTTTTATTTTTATTATAAAAACGAAGTGTGGCAGCAACCTGTTCACCCCTGTGATCTCCAGCAAGACATTCCTGCTCGAGGAAGGCGGCGTCAGACCGACGTGACCTACCTTGCCGTCAGCGGTATGCATGCCTGGGACTCTGACAGAGTTCTTTGGATCGTAGCTGAATTTTCAATGTTTAATCGACATGGATTGGATCTTAGCATGGTCTTTTTCGTGACTGCTAGCACTGTTTTTAATTTTTCAGTTTTAAACCTTTTCATTGCGCCTCCAGCCCCTCTGCCTTATGATTTTACTGGTAAGCAAAGACCTGTAATTACTGCCACCACTTATGTCTATTTTGAAGGCGTGAGACCCACAAGCACAATAGTCCTTTTCATCTGTTGGAAACTTGAGCGGAGCGCGCGTCTGCACACTCCATGGTGCTGCTCAGAGGGGACCCCACAGGACGCCAGACACCGGCGTCCTGAGCTGCTGCGGCTTGAGGATGCTGCTCTCTTGGAGGATGCTTTCCATAATCCCAGTGGGTTCTGGTCTGATTAGAGCAGTGACAAGAAAGCAGAGGCAGCCACTTGGCTGTGAATGTTCAGTGTATTTATTTGAGAGTAAGGACCTGTGATTGTGAGCAGATACCGTTTGTATCTGAGTGTTGTGAAGCCCATCCAGTTTCTCAGCATCTTCGTCCTGTTAGCTCTTTGTGGACCTGCCTCTGTTTTCTTTTAGTCTTTTGGTGTCCATTTGTTTCCACTAGCTGTTTGTTGAAATTCTGGCCTCTGCTACCAGCTGTGACTTGCAGGCCCTCAGCCTTCCAATGTTCCACTTACTGTGGAGGCTGTGGCAGCTTCCAACAGCAGCCTGCTGCCTGGCTGATTCACTGACAGTAGCCAGCCCTCACACTGGCTGTGTGTGTTTAGTCAGTGGCCTTTGCTCAGGTCCCATTCTGTTCCTCTTCCCCGCCGAGTGTGGGTAGCCGGGCTTGTGGTCCAGGTTACTTTCCATCTAACTGCCTTTGATTGATTAACATTCACCCAGAAGATGGGTCTTAACTGAAATTAGAGCTCTGAAGGCACTTAGAGCCTTTTTTTTTTAAGAGAAGCTGTGATCTTTTTCTCTTCTGCCTTTGCCTGTCCTTGCCCTACACTGATCCTGTCCTGAGAATGCTGACTGAAGAGCCACTGGGCTGATGTAGGCAAAGCCGAAAGCATTTCTCCTACCTTTCTTCTGACCTTAATTTACCAGTAGGAACACTGGATGACCTGATCCTTTGATTTTTTTTTTTTTTTTTTTTTTTTTTTTGTAATTCTTACTGTTCATAGGTGTCATTCCCAAGCACAGACAGAATCTGTCTAGGAGAAACATTTAATTCACTGTTGTCTTTAACTCACCATGCGGACACTGCACTCTTGAGTTTGTCATTCTGCTTAGCCAGGGCAAGGTTCCTGCCAGGGCACTGCTGTGTGCAAACTCTTTCTGTATGACAGACAGGGATCTCTTGGCATCGTCAGCACTGATGGATGGGACAGCACAAGGAGCCATTGTCCCCTCCCCTGTCACTGTTTGCTGCTCCAAGGCCAGTTATTAATAAGCCAAAGGCTCGTGGAGCCCATAATGGTCCTGCAGCTGCCTCTGACCTCTCAGCAGTGAGACACTGTATACAGTGCACTGCGCCGGTGCCCTGGAAGGTTTCAGTAAAGTCAAGAAAATGTACAGAGTAACCTTGTACATGATGGTTTTCTATGGTGGCCTAAGGATGCTGGCAAAGGTGCAGGGAGGCAAGCTTCCCACCTCCCTACATGGGATTGTAAACCTTGGGAACTCCTTTGTTCCCCGTAGTAACACATCTCATTTTTAAATCGGGGCTAATAGGATTTTGTACCCAGAATTTATTATATTAATACTTCTCTGAAATACGTGGTGACAACTAGTAAGCAAGAGAAACAGCTGACTGCAGCAGTGCTGGGCGTGGCTTCTCCAGTGGGCCTGGAAAGTTTGTCCATTAGCTTCCTTTGGTTACTAATGGAGCTGGTGTAGAGAGCAGCAGCCTTGACCTGTTCAGTGGCTTCTGCTGAGCACCAGAAGACAAGATGGACGTATTTTTATAATATAAGCATACTTTTTTTGTACATTGTGTTCATTCTTGAATAAAGTGAGCTCACTGTTGGCTTGTAGATATTAAAAAGAAAGTATTGATTTTGATTCAATAAATGTTTTCTTTTAGTCCTGGTTTGGATTTTTCCTTTTCTTAATGAAATTTTACTCACCAGAACTTACGTAGGGGATCTTGTAGCATTCTTCAGCGACAACCCACAGGTGCTGACAACTCACCACTCCTTCCTTTAAAGGTTGTAAGTACTAATGGATGTTAGCTGAGCAAGGCAGTACCAGCCTTCAGTGTGAGAGGCTGCAGCAGGAGGATTGTGTGTTCAGGTGTCATGCCAGCCTTCAGGACTGTTTCCAAAAGTTTGGAGTCGGTAATTGTAATCTCTCTCCTCCTTCCTTCCTTTCTTCTTTTTAAAAGGTGAGGTCTCACTGTGTAGTCTTTGCTGGAACCTACTGTGTAGACCAGATTGGCCTCACCAAACTCCTACACCAACTAATGCTCCTGCCTCAGCTTCTGAGTGATAGTAAGTTGCTTATTGCCGAGTAGAACATGGGGCTGGAAGTCAGAGGACAGCCGTTCCCTGGACTTGAGGGTTGGCGCACAGGTGGCCAGGCTTGACAGCATGCACCTCTGCCACCTTGGCCGTGACACATCTCCAGCAAGTTGGCCTTCCTGCTCAGAGGGGAGGGTGGCCAGGGACTCAGGAGCCCAGGAACCACACAGCTCTTAGGGGAGGGTAGCTCAGCTGAGCTAGGGAGCTCAGGAGCCTCAGCTCCCGCCACTTGTCTTCTCTTCACTGCTTCTTGGCTTCTTTCAATGAGGGCCACACCAGGCAGCAAATCTCATAAAATAGGTTTACTGGAGGGTTCAGGGTGTGGAGGGGCGAATCCAGGGTTGGCTGCCCCTGCTTCTGGGAGAGGACAGCAGGGAGCTGAGTAGACACAGCCTTTAGAAAGGATTTCTTAGGGAATGGAACTTTCTAGGGCAGAGATTTCTGGGGCCGGGATTGGTAGGATTTCAAGTCCCTAGCTTGGGTGAGGGGAGCTCAGAGAGTGGTGGCTTTTGTTCAGACTTCTCACCTAAAATTAGTGTAACCCAGGAAGGGTTCTATTGAGGGACTGGTGATGTCCTGTGTGACACTTACGGAGTCTAGAAACAGTTAAAGCAGAGAGGTCTGGGCATGAGCCTGGCCACTTTCCTGCCTTGAGGGTTTACAAGGTTTACTAAGGGAGTCCTCGACATCGAAGCCCTTCCCCGCCTTCTGAATTGGTATGAAGAGCCAACAGAGCAGCCTATCGGAATGGAATCACATTGGACTGGTACTCCCTAAGGGACACTTGATATCATGGCTTCAGGAAAGGTGACAGCAAATCTCATGGGTAAGAACTAACAAGCTGGCCAAACACTCTGACACAGAACACAGGCCACAGTGTCACTTGAACCTCTGATATAGAAAAGGTCAGGACTCCCTGCCCCAAAGTGGCAGGGGCCAAGGGAGGGTCAGCAGGGTTTAGCGCTGCCACATGGAATCCTAGAAGTAGAAAGGCCAGAAGATTTTGTCAACAGGCTTTGATGGTTTGCCCTCTATGTCCAAAGACACTGAGAAGAAGTTGATTCAAAGTGAAGTTCTTTTCAGTGGCAGGATGGCTCAGAGGGTAAAGCCAGTGACCTGAGAGTGAACTCCTCCAGGTTGTCCTTTGACCTACACATACACACCGCCTGCCCCACCCTAACAAATGTGATTTAATAAAAACCAAAACACAACAAAATCCAGTTCCAGCCCTTCACCAGATTACCTGAAGTGATCTGTAAGAATAGCTCACAGGGGTGGCTAAGAGCACTAGCTGCTCCTGTGGAAGACCTAGGTTTGGTTCCCAGCACCCACGTGATTGAAGGTCTGCAGGTGGGATCCAATGCCTTCTTTGACCTTGGCACCTACACTCGTACTTACACATGCACACACAAGTCTTTAAAAAAAAAATTGCCTCATGAAAGATGTATGAACAAAGTTAGGTAAGTGTTATAGGGGTAAAGCATATGATAAGGCTGGGTGTGAGAATTATGATAATCCTTGCACCCAGGAGCAGAGGCAGGAGGATCTCTTTTGAGCTGACAGTCGTCCTAGTCTACATAGTGAGACCCTGTATCAAAGGGTAGGGTGTGGAGGCATTAAGAGAAACAAAAGGATACAGATAGGAAATAAGGAAAATTACCTCTGTTTGCAAATGATTGCAGCTGATAATTAAGACTCCAGTTGAAAACAGCTCTGATAAGCAACATACAAAGATCAGCTACTTTTCTATGTATCCAGAAAAATAATCTGGGAGAGTCACATTCACAATAGCTTGAAACAAACTAGGGGGAAAACTCACCCACGGAGGTAAAAGATCTCTACAATAAAAACCTTGAAAGTGAAGGAAGGGGCTGGAGAGGGCCTGGAGGTCAAGAGCACTCACTGCTGTTCCGGAGGACCCGGGCTGCCTTCTGCCTCTGCAGGTATCTGCTCACACATGCACATACACTTAATTAAAATCAAACCTGAAAAAATTAGCAACACACTTGAAGTCTCAGCACACAGGAGGTGGGGGCAGGAGAACCAGGAATTCGGGGCTGTTCTGAAGAGGAACAGACAAGTTGACCACTCTTAACCCCCCCCCCCCAGCAACATACACCAATTTAAAAACAATCAGTCCCGGTCTCGTTCCTTGGTGTGTAGCTAAAAGACAGGAATTGCACTGCGCACGCATCCTTTCTAGACTAGGCTGCTAACAGCTGATGCAGGTGTCACCCATGTGTTGTGAAGCAGCGAGGAGGTGAAAACAGCGTGAACCGACAGAATTCAGCCTCAAGGAAGGCAGCTGTCTATTGCTGTTAGGAGACACCATGACGATTAACTCTTCGAAAGCATGTAATTGGGGCCTTGCTTACAGATTCAGGGGCTTATTATTAGTCCATTATCATGGCGGTACACATGGCAGGCATGGGGCTGAAACAGTAACTGAGAGCTTTACATCCTGATCTGAAGGCAGCAGGCAGAGAGAGAGCTGGGCCTGGTCACCGCCGGTGACACACTTCCTCCAGCAAGACCATCCTTTTCTGCCTGATGACTTAGGCATCAAGTATGTAAGTTATGGGGGCCATGCTCATTCAAACTACTTGATTTATCCAGAAAATCTTAGGTCTCAAGTAAGTAGGACCTGTTTGCATTAAACCAGGTAGGAAGAGTGACTTGGTAAGGGACCAGCGACCTTGTCTATCTCCTTTTCTTGAAGGATATTAACATTTAGCAAGTCCAGTTGCACTTATTTGAAGCCGTCACAGTTGGAGTTCTGAAGATGGCAGTTGTGTTAGAATATATTTTGCAACATCACCTTAATATGGTGGCACCCTAGCACCAGGCAGATCTCTGAGTTTGAGGCCAACCTGTGCTGCATAGTTGCAGCCCAGTCAAGACTACATAGAGAAGCCCTGTCTCAAAATAAGTAAATAAAAAGGTCATGCCTAGCCAGGTGGTGGTGGTGATGGTGGCACATGCCTTTATTCCTAGAATTTGGGAGCTAGAGGCAGGTGGATTTCTGAGTTCAAGGCCAGCCTGGTCTACAGACGGAGTTCCAGGCCAGCCAGGGATGCACAAACCCTGTCGCAATAAACAAATACAAGAATAAATACACCATGAAATTACTAAGTACTGTTGGAAATAGTTGACCAAATACACAACGTCTTTTTCCCTGGGCTATTCTGTTGCTGTCCTTCCTGTCAGTGTCAGGGAGCCAGCCCGACCCAGGGCAAAGACTCTAGAGGAAACTTTGAGACCAAAATGCTGTGTCTGCAACGCGTGGGCCAAATCCCATCTCCAGAGCTAGCTTCTCAGCGAGCTAATACAGTGCTAAGTCTCAAAGAAACCTACCGCAAATCTCATCTCATCCAGAACCTGGGCAGTGAGCAGCGAACAAAACAAATGTCCCCCGCCTGCACTTCCCAACTTTGTCCAACATTGCAACCTTCCTGGGACCTGACAACAGTGTCCCGATTTCAGCAGGAAGTAGCTGTAGGAGAGATTACATCACCCCTCTACCAACAACGAAAAGGCTCGGATGTTGGACAAAGCCGGGAAGGGAGAGAGGAGTGCAGGCTGGGGGACGTTTGTTTTGTTTGCTGCTCACTGCCCAGGTTCTGGGTGAGACTTGTTTGAGGCCAAACATATAGCGTGTGACAATTTTCCAACATTATTCATACCTCTATTGTTCCTCTGTTGGGATGAACCCAGTGATATAAATATTCATAACCATTCTCTGGGTGTCTACAGACGGAGGCAGACAACCTGAACAGCTTAATAAGTATTCCTGCTTCATAAAGACATCAAGTTGCAGGGTAATATAATTATTCTATGAAGCAGACAGATCTTGGCTCCTTTGCCAGTCAAATGGCTAATATTTTTTCCTTCTATGTTTTAAACTTACCCTGAGGCCATTAAACAGACATTATATATGGGACTCAGAAAGCTGTGTTGTTAGTTTTCTTTTTTTTTTTTTCCCCTTAGTCTATATAATTGAAAAGTAAAATAAAATCAGGTGTGAGGTGTGATAGGACAGAGATAAAGGCACAGGCATCAAGCAAGTGAGTCCCAGGAACAGAAAGAACGCCCTGTTGCAGAGGAGCTGGCTACGGGACCTGATAAAAACAGCAGGCACTAGGACACAGAAATGTTTTTATCCCCAGCCTTCCTCCCCAGTGTGTGCAGCTAAGGGGCTTCCCACAGAAAAACTGGCTGAGCACCCAGGGGTTGCTCTGAGGTGGGGCTGCCCGAGAGCCTTGGGTCTTGGCAGAGGTAAGGGGGTGGGGGCGCTACCCTGCTTCTGCCAACAGTAGCTCAGGCCATCCTGCCCCAGCCAACCTTGCAGGGCCTAATGGAGGAGGCTAGTGTCTGCTCATGACCAGATAGAGGAAGGCCCTTCCTTTCCCTTTAGTGCTAGCAGAGCCATTTTCATGTTCTGAACAGGATCCCAAACTCCTTCCTCCTCGTGGAAGGAGTCCCAGGTTTTAGTTGGTCCTTTTGTATCAAAAAAAGGTATCTACAGGACAGCAGCTCAGCTCTGAGGAGTGCATGGGGCAGGCTT